TTATAAACATCAGTGCCTTTCTATTTGCTACGGGTAGTCTACTCGAATAACAAAAGCAGTATCATGAAAATTTAATAAGTTAGAACATCTCATATGCCATATAAACTCTTAACCATGAATTCTATTTGTACAATTTCATGGAAAATATACTAATCTGTTTTAAGTTTGTTGTTTAAATTAATGTAATTAATTAAAATAAATAGATTCATGATTAGTCAAATTAAATTACAAACAAAGAAAATATGTTGGAATTTACAATGATATTGCATAGAAATACACAATACAATAAAATGGTAAAGAAAGTACAAATCGAAACCTATGCGATACCATAGTCTCCTTAAAACAGATTAGCCGCTTCACCGTGAGTGCTAGAGATACATTGACTATTGTCTCCCAAGATACGACGGTTTAGATCAATTAACACAGAAGTACCTTCTGATAGCTTTGGCGAACCGACAATGATAGCACTCTCACATACATGAAGAGAAATTATAGGCACAATGAAACCAACCGTATATCTGGAATCCAAAAAATTTGGTAACAAACCAAGGAAGGTGGACATCCTTTTATACACAATGGGAAAGAGAGGAGGAGCCTCCAGTCATCAAGGTTAGCACTAAATGCAGGCCATTACTCCTGCAAAACTGTTGGAGTAATGCACCAAAAACTGATGGGTCAATAAGTATATGAGTTATATACTCTGTATACACATGTGTGATCTGCAGCAGGCTTGACCAAAAAAAGTTAAGTTGGTGGACCACCAATCCGGCCAAACCCCAAGATCCATGAACCATGGACTCAATCCGGTCCGAGCGGCGGGCTTAACCAATGTGTGAGTTAAATGTGTGAGTTTATGAGTTAAATGTATAAGTTTCCAACATTATTTTTAATTTTAAGTCGCAATCAAACGTAAGAAATAAATTTTATAATTTTTTTATTTATGTATAATATTTTCAGTTGAAATAAAGGTAAAGTAATTGATGAGACCTTGTTGGATGCCTGTAGCTTGGCTCGGCAGGTATATGTCGAATTCTAGTACGCATTATAGGTAAAAATAAAATTCGGACCAAATATAATTTTATATAATTTTCTTTATTTTGCCAAATTAATATTGACCATCACCTAAAAATGGAATCCTACCCTTGCATATATGTGAAGGATCGCGTTGGCAATTTTTGGTCTTATTAATTATTGGTTTGAATGAATATTGGGTGGTATTAAGTGACATTAAGAATAAAAAAATTTATATTATAATAGTGGTGAAATTATATAATGGATTTTCTTATTAATTATTTGTTTGAATAAATATTGGGTGGTATTAGGTGACACAAAGAATGAAAAAATTTATATTGTAATAGTGCTGAAATTATGTAATGGATTTCCTTAATAAGGTGGGAGCACTTAAAAGCAATTTTAATCTTTATTAGTTAAAATATAAAAAAAGATATATTTTTTGCTTTATCTAATTATTTTTTCATCTAATATCACTCTTTATTTTATCTATTTATGCGCATAAACAATGTAAAGAACTTTCCATATAAAGAACTTTCCATTGCTTTTTAAATGTAGCTGTAGAAAAATATTAAAATAACTGTTATAAAATCATCTCCAACACCACTAATATATATTTTGTTTATTTTAGACCAAAAAAAAAAAAACATTTTGTTTATTCATTAGATATTCATCCAAGCATTATTTACTTTATACAATGCCATATCAACAATAAATATGGAGATAAATAATTATAAGAGCCAAACATACCTAACATTTGAAGGTTAGCTATATTTAATTAGTGAATTTTGATTGAGGCAAAATGTCGGACTATATATCTAATAGGTTGGAATTGAAAAAAACGAGTTATACTCGACGTTTTAGCTAACATTAAATAGTATGTTGGGGATGCCCTCATAACCTGTTGGAATGAGTACAGTAACTAACATGGTTCAAAGAGCCCTTTGGACATACGCTTAAATAGTATGTTGGGGATGCCCTCATAACCTGTTGGAATGAGTACAGTAACTAACATGGTTCAAAGAGCCCTTTGGACATACGCTTTTCAATTTCAAATATGAACTTGAGTGGCTCCTGATGAGTATCACAAGTCTCATTTTGATGATTTAAATTATTTATTTTATAGGATACTCTATGAATATTATCAATAAAAAAAAATTAAATCAATTTAATAATTATAACATTTCATTTTATCGTGTTTGTCTACGAAAAAATAGATGATAAGTATATTTTTAAAAATAGACCATCCACATTTTAGAGAAAAACATAATAAAATATAAAATTACGATTATTGAATCAGCTTAATTTTTAGTGTGGATAACATATACGGAGGGCCTTAAAAAATGAACTCCTCGAATAATTGAAACGTAATTTATGGTAGGCCCCCAAGCACCTAAGGTTTTCTCAAGTTTAAATTTAAACTTGAAAGAAGTTCAACCTTATAAAATAATTATACATTCTTTATTTAAGATATATATACTTTAGTAACAAATATATAACTATTTTAAATTTTATTATCTAATACTCTTAAGATATTTACTAATAACATTTTGGGATTGGATTCAAAGCGTTTAGGCTTGGTGGGTCGGAGTAGAATATTTATATAAAAAATTGAAATAATTGAATATCGATAGATATATATATCAATTATATTTGTTTTAAAAAAATGACAAAAATTATAATTTTTTGCATGACGGACCTAGGATTTAGACATAAGGGGGCGGACATTTATACTTATATAGACTACAATAATAATTTCTATCAATATAAAAATTGAAAAATAACATGAAAAAATATATATAAATAAATATGTTTTCTTGAGTTACAAAAGATAACAACTGGAAAATAATTTATTTACTAAGGTGAGATATCTTAAAAACTATATGTGTTTCTCAATAAGTTTAATCAAGTCAATTGTTTAATCTTCCTCCACCATATTCTTAGATTAATACTTGTAGTTGACACTGAGTATGCGAAAAGCCTTTTTTTTCTTTCTTTTTTTTGGGGGGGCTGTAAATGACACTTAAAAATTTTCAAAACCTTAGACGGGTGACCCCTTAAAAGTTTAAAAAAAAAAAAAAAAAAAAAAAAATACATAAGGGCGAGTCTATACAATTTGATGTAATTATTAAATAATACTGCTATAGTAAATAAGATTTTTAAAATTGTATGGGCCTGCTATCACCCTCTCTTACTAAATCCAAACACTCTCAAATTGAGATGGCTATCTTGAGAGAATTTAAATCTTAATTTTTTTTTTAAATATATATAATTGAGTTAGTAGGGATAAAGAATGTTCATCCATTCTTATTACTGATTTTTTTTTTTTCAAAATTAATACCATTAAAAATTATATGGTCAAGGGAAATTTTATAATGCCCCACCATATTGTGGAGTGCGTATTATATATGCACGTTTCTATGTTATTTGACTATAATTTATTGTAATTTTGCTTATGACTTGGTGATAACTCATTGTAGTGTTAGTTGTGATTAGTTGTGCGGTTAGATATGACCTATTGTAATTATAATTTTAGTTATGATTGAAAATGTTGTTATACCTTATGTGTTTGATTACGACTAATTATTATTTTTTAATTATGATTGGAAATGATTTAGTTATAACATTTGTTATAATCAGCAATATAAATATCATAACTTGTGTATAAGAAGTGTTAGAGGTGCTCGCGGATCAGGTTGAATTAGATGGTCTCTTATTTGACATTCGTCCGAACTTAAGTAGATTAGAAAAAATCAATCTACATTCGTTTGCTTAGCTAGTGGATGCGGATTAAGTGAGTCGTGTGGGTTAACGGATGAATACAAATCGATTTGGCGGTTTAGACTTTATTATTTTAGGTCTTTTTTTGGAATTACTTTTCAGTAATTCTTTACTATTTTGAGCCCATAATTTTTTATATATTATTTTCCCAACTTTCATATTTTATAAATAACAAATATAATTACTAAATAAAATGTTATTTTTTTAACACATAAAACAAAAAAAACATAACTTCATTTTTGTAGAGTGTGGTCTCCCATCCGGTATTCGTCTAAATTTAAGCGGATTGAAAAAAATTCATTCGCATCCGTCTGCTCGATCCATTGAAACTATCTATTCTGTGACGAATTGATTTGGGCTTTTCAATTTTAGCGGATTTAGTAGATGCTTGCCCATCCCTAATAAGTATATATGCTACAAACGAGTAATGCTTTGATACACATCTTTTAAGGAGTATATAACATAAAATTCTCCTCAACAATAACCTATGTTCAATATTTCTATTATTTTTTCATTGCAACAATTATGCTATTTGAAGACGGAAAAATCTAGAGATCCACCCTTAGTCACCCAAAAAATTCTGGACGAATAATTATGTAGTACAGATTAATTTGTATAATGTGGAGTCTATACAAAGTGTGATAGAGATTAATTTATAAAGAGTTAAGTTAGAGACTCCAAATATTCTACCAAGAAAAATACTTGGGAGCACCAAAAAGTGATCACTAGAGGGAACAATAGTGATGTGGCAGTGGGCCCTGCCCACTTTCTATGCCTTGTTTTTATTTTTTTATTTTTTTTTGTCATTCTCAATGTATTAGTGCTATTAGTGATGTATTTTTTAGTGGTCTAAATCATTGTTGTTCTACCAAATATTTTACCAAACCTCTCACGATGTGAGACCCACACACATGTAAATTTGTATAAGTCTCATTTCATATGAGAAGTTTGATAGAATATTGATAAAATTTTGAGGTACATAACATTTTTCATTTATAAATAATTTCTGAATTAATAAAGATTTGTTCAGTTTTTGAAAACCCTCCAATCCAAAGATTCCCAATCATAAATGCACCAAAACTTTCTTTATTAGATTTCTTAATTCATTAAACCTCAATTATTATTAATAATGATAATACATGCACAACTCATCATTCGCATACTACCAATTTATGGGTCATCACTAATGCACTATATTCACTAAAACGTATCTCCACCCAACGGCTAATTCTATTGGAAATTCTTTCTCACCATAACGCGCTCCGCCTCTCTCTCCCCCAACTTGTTAGTTAGTAATAGTAATAGGTCGTGTAATCCAGACTGGAATCACCGGCTCCAACCGGTTATCCTCCTTCTCCAACACACTCCCTGTCGGTCACCTTTCCCTCCCTGTTTTCCTCACAACTATAACCTTCCTGTCCCACTTCCAACCCTAAAAACAGAGAGAGAGAGAGAGGGGAGAGAGAGAGAGAGTTAGGGTTTCAAGAGCATCAATCTATCTCTCTGTTTCTCTGATTGAGAGAATTACAGATATAAATGGCTAATGAAGGCCTTGAATTCTCTCACAATGATGTAGAACTGAACGAAGAAATGGCCGAAATGCTGTTCCCGAGGAGGCGATTCTGCTTCTGCATCCCTTGCTTCGGCGGTTCGAACAGATCGGCGGCGGTGGGAGTACATTGGTGGCGGAGAATGAAGACGGAGGAGAAGGAGGAGGAGAGGTGGTGGGATCGGGGGATCAACGCTCTGAAGAAGCTTCGAGAGTGGTCGGAGATCGCCGCCGGGCCACGGTGGAAGACCTTCATACGGCGGTTCAATCGGAGCAAGAGTGGCGGAGGAGGAGCAAGGCAAGGGAAATTCCAGTACGATCCTCTCAGTTACGCTCTCAACTTCGATGATGGTCAAGTGCAGAACGGTGATTCGGACGAAACGTTTCGGAGCTTCTCGTCGCGGTACGCTTCGATTCCAATATCGGTGAAATCGTCTATGGATAGGGATGCTTCGAGCTTCGCTTGACGGACGAGAGAGAGTTGGAGAAGACGACGACGATGATGATCTCCGGGGGTGCGCGGTCGGGACTAATTTGCGCCGGTGTGTACACTGGGGAATGTGCTGTGATGAGGTGGACGTTGACTTCTAGTATTGTGACGCTCGGCATATCGCTGGTTGTCTCTTGGATGTCTTTTTAATTTTTGATTTTTTTATTATCATAGAATATTTTTATTTTATTTTATTTTATACATTACTACAATTTTTGTTTGGTGTTATGAATAAAGATTTGTTATTTGTGCATATTATATGGTATTTTATTAATTTTTATTAATTATTTTCTAAACAAAGAATTTATCACAAGAATTGAGGTATATCCACTTAATCCTAACGAACTTAAATCAAACAAACATAATTAATAATAGGATAATTTATATGTAAATGAAATTACACTATATTGATATAAATATAAAAAATGGAGGAATTAAAAGATAGAAAAATTAATAATACGTTATTGGCATGTTTGATTTGGTGGATTAGAGCATGGGATTGGGATTATTAATCCGTGGGCCCAATTATCCTATGTTTGTTTTAACATTTTGGTTTAGGATTATTAATCCAATGGATAATTAATCCAACAAATTTGTAGGATTATTAGTAATGGGGTAGGGGTGGGATTAGTAATCCAATGAATATTAATCCAATTGGATAATGAATACCACACTAATTTAATAAAATTATTAATACATCACTATTAATCTTGTGAATCAAACGTGACCTATAAGTATCCCTTAAAGGGAAACCCTATGGTACTCTATGTTCCTTACTATAAATTGGTATCATTTAATAATAAAATTTAATAATATTAACGACAAAATGTGTAATATCATTACAAATCAATGCAATAAAAAATGTCATAACTAAATCATAAATTTTTGTAATATTAATCATAAAATTGTAGACACGTTACGTTAATTTGTGGAGAAATTATGCATTTATGGTTGATGTTATGAAATTTTATGATAAAATTATGTTTATTTATGGTAAGATGCATACTGTATGTATCTTAGTTAAAATTTTAACAAAATATATTTCAAAATTGTAGTTTTAAAATTTTAGGAGATAAGATTCATGTTACATATATATATATATATACTAGTGTATGTCCGTGCCTGAAGACACGGTGTAAATAATGTTAGAGTTGGAATATAATTGTAATCCAAACACTATTTAAATTTATTTTTTAATTTGATAAAATCACAGAATTATTATAAAATTTTAGAGTTCTCACAAAACTCCTCACGAAAATTCGCTTTTCCTTATATAATATATAGTTTGATAGATAGATGTGCTTGGCATACATACAATTTTCACGGGCATACATATAATATTGGTTTTGCTTATATAATTATATAAAAATTGTATGTATGCCCATAATGTCCTAGTGTATTACAGGCATACATACATTCTATGTAAATATGTGTAAAGTATATTGAACAAAAATGAGAAAATAAAAAAAAACAAATAGAGAGACAAATAAAAATAGGAGAAAATAAAAGAATAAAGATAAAAGAGAGAGCAATGTGGGATCATGTGAAGGATGGGTGAGAAAAGGAAAAAGTAAGAGAGAGAGAGAAGCGGGAAAATAGAAAATGTACATGTATGATATTTTTTGAAAAATTCTTATTCGTTGTTTTATAATTTGAATAGGTTTGAGTCGTCCAAATGTCATAGTAAGAAAAATGTAGGTAGGACAAATTCAAAAATATTTAAAAAATAATAATTAATTGTTCAAATTCATTTAATTTGTGGACTATAAAATTCATTATCCACTACAGAAAGTAAAATCTGGTTCCTAATTCTGAGATTATAGACTTTTCCATATAATATGAATAAAAATAATTGAACAAGAAGGAAAAAATAAAAAATAAACAAATAGAGAGAATAAAAAAATTAAAAAGAAAATAGTGAGGATGGTGGGAGCATGGAAGGATGGATGAGAAAATGAAAAAGTAAGAGAGAGAAGCGGGAAAGAAAAATGACTTAGACCCCCAGTGGGGGTGCTGGACTTTATTATATAGGACGAAGATGGGATCATGAGATCATAAAAAGATGGGTGAGTAAAGAAAAAAGTAAGAGAGAGAAGCGGGAAAATAGAAAATGTACATGTGAGATATTTTTTGAAAAATATATCTTAGCCATTGTTTTATAATTTGAATAAATCTAAGCCGTCCAAATGTCTTAATAGAACAAATGTATATAGGACAAATTCAAAAACCATTCTGCTTTATTATCTAAATGTTGAAAATTCATATGAGATCTAAATTTACGAAGATTCAATATATTTAAAAATAATAATTAATTGTTCAAATTCATTTAATTTGTGGATTATAAAATTCATTAATTTAATCTCCACTACACACAGTAAAGTCTGGCTCCTAATTCTGGGATCACAGATTTTTTCATATAATATGAATAAAAATAAGTGAATAAAAGGAGGAAAAAAAAAACAAATAGAGAGAAAAACCATCATACTTTATTATATAGGACGAAGATGGGATCATGAGATCATAAAAAGATGGGTGAGTAAAGAAAAAAGTAAGAGAGAGAAGCGGGAAAATAGAAAATGTACATGTAGGATATTTTTTGAAAAATATATCTCAGCCATTGTTTTATAATTTGAATAGATCTGAGCCGTTTAAATGTCCTAGTAGGACAAATGTGTGTAAGACAAATTTAAAAATCATCCTACTTTTATATACACTAGCGTATGCTCGTGCCTGGAGGCACGGTGTAAATAATATTAGGATTAGAATATAATTGTATTCTCAACACAATTTTAAATTTATTTTTTAATTTGATAAAATCACAAATTTATTATAAAATTTTGGAGTTCTCACAAAACCCCTTACGAAAACTCGTTTTGCTTATATAATATATATCTAGATAGATAGATGTGCTTGATATACATATAATTTCTACGGGCATACATATAATATTGATTTTGCTTATATAATTATATGAAAATTGTATGTATGCCCATAATGTCCTAGTGTATTACAGGCATACATACATTCTATGAAAATATGTGTAAAATATGTTGAACAAAAAAAAAATAAAAAAATAAACATATAGAGAGAAAAATAAAAATTGGAGAAAATAAAAAAGAGAAGAGAGAGCAAGGTGGGATCATGGGAAAGATGGGTGAGAAAAGGAAAAAGTAAGAGAGAGAAGCGGGAAAATAGAAAATGTACATGTAGGATATTTTTTGAAAAATATATCTCAGCCATTGTTTTATAATTTGAATAGATCTGAGCCGTTTAAATGTCCTAGTAGGACAAATGTGTGTAAGACAAATTTAAAAATCATCCTACTTTTATATACACTAGCGTATGCTCGTGCCTGGAGGCACGGTGTAAATAATATTAGGATTAGAATATAATTGTATTCTCAACACAATTTTAAATTTATTTTTTAATTTGATAAAATCACAAATTTATTATAAAATTTGTGAGTTCTCACAAAACTCCTCACGAAAACTCGTTTTTGCTTATATAATATATAGCTAGACAAATAGATGTGCTTGGCATACATACAATTTCCACATGCATACATATAATATTGCTTTTGCTTATATAATTATATGAAAATTGTATGAATGCCCATAATGTCCTAGTGTATTACGAGCATACATACATTATATGAAAATATGTGTAAAATATGTTGAACAAAAAAAAAATAAAAAAATAAACATATAGAGAGAAAAACAAAAATTGGAGAAAATAAAAAAGAGAAGAGAGAGCAAGGTGGGATCATGGGAAAGATGGGTGAGAAAAGGAAAAAGTAAGAGAGAGAAGCGGGAAAATAGAAAATGTACATGTAGGATATTTTTTGAAAAATTCTCATCCGTTGTTTTATAATTTGAATAGATCTGAGCTGTCCAAATGTCCTAGTAGGACAAATTCAAAAATCATCATACTTTATTACATAGATGTTGAAAATTCATATAACGCCTAAATTTTTTAAGTCTATCAGGTATTCAATATATTTAAAAATAATAATTGTTCAAATTCATTTAATTTGTGGACTATAAAATTCATTAATTTAATATCCACTACACAAAGTAAAATCTAACTCCTAATTCTGGGATTATAGACTTTTCCACATAATATGAATAAAAATAAATGAACAAAAAAGAGAAGAAAAAAAATAGAGAGAAAATAAAAAAATTAAAAAGAAAAGAGTGAGGATGGTGGTGGAATTATGGGATTATGGAAGGATGGGTGAGAAAAGGAAAAAGTAAGAGAGAGAAGCGGAAAAATAGAAAATGTTCATGTGAGATATTTTTTGAAAAATATATCTTAGTCATTGTTTTATAATTTGAATAGATCTAAGTCGTCTAAATGTCCTAGTAGGACAAATGTGTGTACGACAAATTCAAAAACCATCTTGCTTTATTATATAGATATATTTACATTTGGATTGATTTGCCCTTCAACAAGTTTGCTTAAAATACAGATTGTCCTATATAGTTTGAAAAATTACAAATACCCTATTATTAGAATTTTTTTATTTAATAGAATTAATTAAAAAAATGAAATTCATAATTGCTCTCCTATACAATAATAAAATTACCCAAATTATTAATTGAAATACATTTTTAATATTATTAAAAATTGTTAATTGACTTGATGATTTATTAATAAAATGAGCTATTTGTTATTAAATTAGAAACATCAATGGATGAAATGTAATTTTCAAAACCACAAGAGGCGATTTGTATGTTAATCAAATTTCAGGAAATATATTTATAATTTATCATAAAATCAATGGTAAGATTCCATAATCAATCATCTAGGATGAAACCCTCAAGAACAAAATTACTACCTTCACATAAATTTCGGATGACTCTTCAACAACAACTTGTTCCCTTTAAAAGACTGAATAATAATAATAATAAATAAATAAATTTAGTAAAAAGAGCACAATCATCTCATAGGAGGTAAGTCGCATCTTTTAATCCCGCCGTTAAAGGCTTTAACGGCGGTTTTACAGCCTTTAACGGCGGTAAAAAACCGCCGCTAAAGCCCAATTTTGGCGTAGTGTGAATAATAATAATAATAAATAAATAAATTAGTAAAAAGAGCACAATCATCTCATAGGAGGTAAGTCGCATCTTTTATGAGTTAGGGTTTACGGATGAGTTAATTTGATAGCTACAACTAAGCCTCATATTTGGCCGAAGGCCCATGGTTCGGCCTATTAGGCTTTTACTTGGTCCGAGTGAAATTGAGTTTGAGCATTACTTAAATCTTAGCTTGTTAGATAAGCCCGCAGGTTGGCATGAGTCCATTAGAAAGTACTTGAGCCGAAAGTTTTAATCAACAAAAATGTTAGAGATGCTAAAAATTCTATCAAATGTTTCACGTGGGTGTGAGATTCATATAGAACCGACATTATATAAATGCTATATCCATATAAAACATTTGATAAAAAATTTAATAAAATTTTTAAAATTACTCTTTAATTGATGGGCCAACCTAACTTGCGCTCACTTAAAAAGGTTGACTAAACTTAGCCCACACATAGGCTGTCCAATTTCGCTTGCCGGGATGCCAACACAACAACACCTAGCTATAACGAACAGCTATGCAAACGTTGTTTTTGTCTCGACGTCCCAAGGTATTCCGAGAGGCGTCAATTATCGACCATCTCAAAAAGCACTTTAGCAAAATCAATAGGCCAGCTAAAAAGTCTATTGTCTTCAATAATGGTAGTTCAGACATTCTCAATCTATGTCAAATTTCGTATTTTAATTTATGCTGTCCAATTAAAGAAGACTGTATAAAACAGTGAAGGTTGAAACTTGATGGTTAAAAAGATTATTTTAAAATTTAACTAATTTAATCATATAACCAAACACCTATCAAATTGGTAATGCCGTGTAATTTATTCAAAATGGTTAAAAAATAAAAAAATAAAAAAAATTGAGTGTTTGACTATATTCAAATTTTGAAATGATCATTTTACTAATCAAATCAAGTTTCAATGGTCAATGATGGATTTAGGGGGTGCGGGTTGGGGCTGTACTCCCAAAAAATTGAAAAATATTATATATTATATTAAAAAATTTAAAAATATATAACCAAACACCTATCAAATTGGTAATGCGGTGTAATTTATCCAAAATAGTTAAAAAACAAAAAAATTGTGTTTGACTATATTCAAATTTTGAAATGATCATTTTACTAATCAAATCAAGTTTCAATGGTCAATGATGGATTTAGGGAGTGCGGGTAAGGGATGTACCCCAAAAAAATTGAAAAATATCATATATTATATTAAAAAATTAAAAAGTATAAGGATTTGCATTCTTAAACATACGTTTTCAACGCTATAATAATAATTTTAGATTTGTTTCTGTCAATGATTACTGATTTATTCGAACTTCTTTAATTGAACTTAATAAACTAAAATTAGAACCTTCATTGACTAAATAGATGACATTACTAGTTTAAGGATAAAATAGATAAGGTGGTTATAGTTTAAATGATAAAAAATGAAATGAACTCTTATTTGAATGACTTTCTAACATAAAAACCTCATGAACAGTGAAGACAGTTAAATTTTGACTACTCCGGAGAAATTTCACTAACTTTTACTTGATAATAGTGAATTTTTATCGGCTTTAATGAAATTCCATTGATTATGAGTATAAGTTGTTATAGACTTTTGATGTAGTGACAGTGAAGTTATAAAAAATAAAAATTTTGTGACAAACAGAAATCTAGATATATATAAAAAAAATATTCCTTAATTTTTAAATTTTGAAAGCTTTTGCAAATATAAAAACTTTGATGTGTATGTGTCTCTTGATTTCAAAATAACTTACCCAAAAGATTTAAACCATAAAATCTAGAAGGAAAACTCCATAAAATTTATAAAAAAAATTATCACAAAAATAATGTGACATGACATTATTATAAATATAAGTCATCTCATGAGTATTTTATTTTAAGGTGAAAGGTCCTATGAGTTGCATTATTCTATATGATAGATTATATTGAGGGTGTTTGTTTAAGTTTTTTTGAGCCAACTTATAACTTCTGGCTTTTGAAAAGTTATTTTAGACTGTTTGGTTAAACTTATTTCAAACAACTTCTGATTCTAACAACTTATTTTACGTCAAAAAAGTTGATTCTGAAAAGCTGCTCACGCATTGTTTCTGATTATCAGCTTCTGCTGTGGACATGTTAATTTACGATCATACTCTTAGATTTTTTTATTTTTTATTTTTTTTAAAAATAGAAAAAGATCCAAATGGACTATAGAATATTATTATTATTTTTTATGAGAAATGTAAATAAATAGTGAATAACAAAAAAATAAAAGTTAATTGAAAAAACCACTTCACAACTTATTTAACAAACACTACTCAACAACTTAAATTTATAATCCAACAGTTACACCAAACAGATTAACAACTTCTGATTAAAGTCATAATCCATAATCTGTTAAACTATAATTTATAATATGTTTAACAGTTACACCAAACGGGACCATTATGTACTATAGAAATCTATTTTGTATGGAATTTTTGTTTGAATATTGTCACCCTGTTTGGTTTGGAATTTTTAAAAATAATTTTTGGTGTTTTCAATTAAGATTTTTGTATTTTTGATATTTTTATAATATTTTATTTATTTTTTATTTTTTACTTTTTAGATCCACTTAATATTACTTTAAAAGTATAAATTTGTACAGTTTTTTTTTAAAAAAATTCATTGAATACAACAAAATATGAAAATGTACTAAATTTTCAATTTTTTAAAATATTTGTTTTGTATTTGGTGATTTTTTTTTTTAATTTAATTTTTACAAATTTTATACTTTTTAAGGGTATCTAAAACATAGCACAACCTCATCTTTCAAAATTGCCTGAAATTCTCACAACAGATGCCCAACAAAAAAAAAAAAGGACATGGAGGGCAGTAGAATTGCCAGTTCTCTGAGTTCCAAGCAAGACTTTCTATCACTAAACCGGGCAAAATTGTCCACAGAAAAAAAGAAAAAAGAAAAGTAAAGTAAAAAAGAAAGAAACAATACATGCATTCAAACAGAGTTCCAATATAAAACAAACGGGTCATAATGTAATTTGGATACATGTTGCAATGTTTGGGTTCAAAATTTTGCAGAATTGTGCCCTCTTCCGTACCAAGATATGGTATTCATGCTGATAATTTTCTACTCTGCACGGACTTTATATTCAACAAAATATCGCCTAAAATCCATGGAAATCCCAAGCAATGAATGCTTTCCTTGCAATAGGATGGGTGATAAGTCACATGATACCAAGCCGATGCCATCTTCTGTTGCTGGTCTGCCTTGCAGCTACTCTCAAACCACCCTTTTGCCTCCTTATATAGGCTCTTAACCGACACCAGAATTCTATCCTTCATTTCCCCGTATCTCCTATTATCCCTTAGCAGATAAGCTGATTTTGTACGCAAATTGCCTGTAAGTATCTCATCTTCACTCTCTGCCTCATAAAAATTCATTAGGGTGCTCATTTTGTCCAAATACATCTCCTTGTGGCTTTGTGCAACTTCAATGAAGTCTTCAAAACCATTTACAATGAGATCATGATCATAAGCATCCTGGGCAATCTTCTCAGACCAAACAAGGACTGCACTTTCATGCACTGGTGAGTTAACGGTGGCACGGTAGAGTTTGCCCAGAACTCCCTTGGAGATGTAATTGGGCTTGTCCCACCTTTGCATGAAGTCTGGGAACTCCTTCGGTTTCAAAAACCTAGGCATCTCAGCTGGAGCTCCGGTCTTTGCAAAATCAACGGCCATTGAATGAAGGGTTGCCAACTGAAGACATTTTGAACTCAGAGCCTTACTTGGTTCACGGTCTGCATGGATCAAATGAGCGGTAGAGATAGTGCCCAGAGTATCATTGATCATGTAATCAACAAAGAATTTATGGATTTCCTGCAGATATTAGTCAATTGGGAATAAGAAAACATGCTTTACTTCAGTGAATTGCACAAATTCAGTTTTCTAAGTTACCTCCAAAGTCACATCATGATCCATTAGACGAGGCCTTCGCCCAGTGTAGTCCATTGGGGTCACAGTTTGGGGTGGGATAAGATTTTCATTCCAGCTTATAAAATACAAGTCTCCATCAAGATCACCGCCAGAGCATTCATTTGGATGAGGCCTGTGGATATATCAGTGTTACTGTCATCCATAAACTATCAAAATTTCTATTTTTGATCTATTTAAGTGGTTGAGAGAGAGAGAGAGAGAGAGCATAAAAATTCCCCGAAAAAGTTTTAATAAATGAAACTAACTAATGTTATAAACTGTTACTGCTAGAACAAGTCATTGAACAGAGAAGTGAAAAAACAACAAATGTATTTCTCCAATACGAAAAGTATAAGACATAAACAACAAAGCATGCTGCTACTGAGAATACAGGAAAAACTTGTTAAAATAAATCAAATGTGAAGGTATATATGCCTGAATGGCTAAGGACATCAACTTCAAATGGAATATTCCATTCATATCTCCCCATAAGTCCTAGTAATTCCTTCTCACCTCATGAATAATGCCATCAACAGTACAGAGCTCAATATGACAGGGAATTATTCCAAACATGACTCATGATTTGATAGGAGTTTCAACCAACTCGGTTCAAATTGTAAAGCTGAATAGGAAATTGAAGTGAATTGTGCAATTCAAATTGCAATTCATTACAACTGAATTTTGTTTCTTTTGGAAGTACGAAACAATGTCATTTTTGCCTCTCTATCAAACATTAGAGAGAGAGAGACACAGTTGTTATATTGATATATACAATTTAATTGTATTGAATTTATTTCATTTTAAACACTATATGTGTATTTTCATATGTATATACATATATAAAATTATATATTAAATAAAGTGAATCATAAGATTTATGATTTGATACGAATGACGGTTTACCAAAACAATTCATGATTTGATTTGAGTTTTGACAAAAATGATTCCAACCTCTGGGGGTCGCATAACAACTTGATATTAAAGAAGGCATCTGCTAAGGGTAGAAAGCTCTCCGTCAAGCTATGAAGCATGAGTATTTCAAAAAACATGCCGTACCCGTATCGGATACTTACCGGCGTATGGTATACGTACCGGGTACATGGAACACGTATTCAAATTTTTTTTTCTTAATTTTTGGCGTACCCAGACGTACCTACTATATACCCAAGCTTTACCGTATCTCAGTTGAAACAATATTTTCTTTTCCTATAAAGATAAAAATCCTTTCACTAGATTTTTTTTTTTTTTTTTTAGTTTTATGCTTAGCATGTTTTTAAAATTAAATTATGGTTTGTAAGTCATTTAATATATTGAAATTTAATTTTGATTTATACCTTTACTTTCGGCATTAAACGTTAATTGTAGGTTAAATCTTAACAAATTAAACTATTTAATTAATTTTTGCATTACTCTAAATTAAAAATAAATATTATTTTACAAACGTACCAAGCCTTACCTGTACTTTACTTTTTCTGGATTTTACTGAATCGACGTACCTGCATCGTACCAGTACTAATACTCGTATCCATGCTTCATAGCCGTCAAGGGTAAAAGTAAATAAATAAACAAATAACTTACAATCTTAACAAAGGAGTTTTCCAAAAAATCAATGTTTTTTTATTGATATATCTTACAGGTGCAGATATGCCTCAAGTTGGAAGCATAGTCATATGCATATACTAGAGTCTATACACCAACATGATGCGGATATGCATGTCCACGTGTCAGAACATGCCACGTCCACTGTCAATTTTTTTTTTTCAATTATTAGAGAAAAATTCATTTGACCGCCCTGTGGTTTGGCTCGATAACACGTTATCCCCCTATAGTTTACAAATAGTCAAGAGATCACTCGTGGTTTGAGACAAAGGTGCAGCCGTTACATTTTCTGTCAAGGTTGACAGAAAGTGTACTACAGGCACCTACTTTGCGATTTGACAGGAAAATCATTAGAGTCAAAAACAAATTCTTATGTAAAAATACAATATTACCCCTAATTACCCCTAACTTCATCTTCCTGATATAAACCATGTATAAACCCTAACCCCAACTCAGTTATCCTGCCCCCACCATCACTCCTTTCTCCACCCACCAACCCTCACCAGACAATTCCCCCACCACCACTCATGCTACCATCAGATACCTCCTATGCAACAGGCCCCCGCCTTTGTCACCCACGGCTCTCATGTAACCACTTGCGTCATTCCCATTCATCGCCAACAATGGCACCAAGCCCCCTCTAATTTCTAATCAGATATCTAGGTCCCAGCCACAACACCCATCTAGATTTGAGTTCCCAGTGTTCACAATCTATTCACCCTAATAAATCTGTTGATTTGTTTTTGTTTGGTTATGTGCATTATATAGGTACATATAAGTATATGTAAATTATAAATATAATTAAACCAGAACTAGGTTGCAAATTAGAAATTAAGTTATAAATTTAGAATTATTTGGATTAATATTTGGTTTAATTATTTAATTAAAAACTATCTTTAACTTAAGAGAGAAAGAGAAGATAACACAAAGGTATTAAGGTCATTTTTTCACTGCTGTTAACAGATTTAGTGTTGCATTTGGTTGAAAATCACATGGGGGCACTTTGGCTATTTTTAAAACGACAGGCAGGTAAAGTGCTATCAAGCCAAACCAGGAGGTAAAATGAAGGTTATTTTTTCACAAGATACTTTGGAGATACTTCACAGACATGTGTCTTGTGTTTGGACACGCCTATGACACCTTTATGGGTTTTTATAATTTTAAAAAGCTGATTTGGGGAGTAAAATATATGTAAAGATGGCAAGAAAAGTGAATATATACATATATATATACCTACATATATAATGACGCTGCTTATATCTTTGTGCCCTAAATTTGTATTATACATCGTAAATAAAAATATATAAAAAATATATTTTTCCCCCATATTCCCATTGTGTATGTATCTTAATTTTTTTTCAAAATAATTGTATCCCAGTGCCAGGTCCATGTCCATCAAATTGGAATTGAAGCACTATATAACATTCTGATCTAGCAATCTAGAGATAATGTGGTAAATATAAGAGAACTCAATGAAGCACGGACACGGACACGCGACACGACACGGACACGCCGACACGCAAATTTTCAAAAAATGGGAGACACGACACGCTGGGGACACGTTCAATATATATAATTAATTTTATTTATTATATGTCATACAATTATAAAAAAAAAAATCATTAAAAGGTAATAAAATATACAAAATAATACTATTAAAATTATAAAAAATAAACATTTAATTGATTACAAAAATTACATTGTAATTGGCAATTTCCTCCTCCTTCCCTTGGTTTTGCTAATTTAGTTATATACTTCCACAATGGCTTGTTCTCATCAAAATCATCATCAGGTATATCCAAGGTTCTGAAAAGCGGTTGCGGTCGCCGTAACGGTGGCGGTAACGCGGTTGCGGTTGCGGGATATAAAGGCCGTAGTGTAACGGTTGCGGTAACCGGAACCGTGAATTTTCTGAAATAATAGAAAAAAAAAAAATAGAAGACCGAAGTCGAAGACGAGGAGAAGACCAGAAGAAGACTCAGAGAGAGAGAGAGGAGACCTCGACAGACACAGAGAGAGAGAAACATCGACTGGCGAAGACCAGAAGAAGAAGGAAGAAGACCGAAGCTGAGGAAGGAAGAAGAAGGTGTACTTTACGACGACTAGCGACGGCCGAGGAGCGACGACGAGCGACAACCGATGACGAGCGACTGACGAGCGACGGACGAGCGACCAGGTTCTCTTTCTCCTCTGTTATCTGCCTTCTCTCTTTCTCTTTTTGTTCTCTACTAACCTCTTAGATCGATTTAGGGCTTTTGATTTAGGGCAAACAGAATTTTTTTTGCTTTTTTACATATTGACCCCAAAAATATTTTATAAATTCTGAAATTGACCCTAAAAATGTTTTGTAAATTCTGAAATTGGCCCCGTGCGTGTCCAAAAGTGTCCATAACGTGTCCTGGACGTGTCCGGCTTCAGAAAAAATAAAAAAAAAATTGGACACTCTCTAGTGCGTGTCGGACACGTGTCCACCGCGTGTCCGACGCGTGTCCGTGTCCGACATGTGTCCGACACTGGTACGGAGCCCTCGGAGAGGTGTCCGTGCTTCATAGAGAGAACTTCATTTGATTTTAATCTAACAGACGTGGCCTATCGTTTAAAAAAATAAAAAAATAAAAAAATAATAATCAAATCTTACTTTAGCAATCATAAACAGGGTAAAATAATTATTAACTAAAAAATATGGTAAAACAATTCCTTTAGAGAAGTGCTTTATACCTTTCTCCTTTCTGGGGGAAGATGACGCAATTCACCCAACCCTTCTCCTCTAATGCAACCTCATAGACAGCCTCGAGGACTCTAATATCTCCTGGGTGAAGACACGGATTTTTTGTTACTACAACCTTCCCAATCAATACAGATGTTGTCTCGTCTATCTTCTGAAAGAAACTCTGCTCTCCAGCTTGCAGTTCTGCTTTAGTCATGGTAATGCGGACATAAACTTGGCCATAGTTTAAAATGCCCGTTTCATCCAAACATCCAATTAGGATCCGTCCCTGTGGGACAAATATTCTGCACCGGGTTCTTAAATCAGACAACTGGTTATCATGGTGTGCTCTAAGTATCATAGAGAGGTAAGGTTCCATGTTTGGCTCGTAACCTTGAAGCAACATCTTTACTAGAATGCCTTTAGCATCTCTCCCACCCATGCTCTCGAGAACATCCAATGCTGCCTCTTTACTCGTCAGCATTTTGCCCAGAAGGCAAAGTTGTTGATCTTGCATAGCCTCAAAAGCCGTGTCTTCTACTCCCAAGGTGGACAAAAGGGAAACAATCTCCCGATTCAAGTAGCAAGGCATGGACTCGCTCCAACTAGTGACATTAAGCATCCTGTTTTTTGATTCAAATTTAAGCATGCTACTACGTAAAGATAGTTTTCTGAAGGAATTACGGTCAACGGTTATGACACCTTTATAGCCACCATATCGAATTTGAAATGCCGAAGGAGTATGATTTAATCCACACTTCTGAGCAACTTGTCTAGCAAAAGAGTTGGAAATCTTTCCAATGCCATCAGAGAAGCAGTAACCAACACCATCAGAGGTAATTTCGACATCAGGAATAGTCTCAACTTCTTGTGCAGAGATTTCCAGAGTTTGCGTAGAAGAACTGAATAATTGACCCATCCTTGCAGCACATTTTGACACGCTGCGAATCTTATTGAAGCAGCCCATCCAATCTCTAATATCTTCGGTTTTCACATTCTCATTAGAAGCAAACATCCACACAGCATTTGAACGGAGTTGACTAGCTGAGAAAGCGAGAAATTGAAATCTTTTGTCTCCAATCACAATCCCTTCTCGAAGAATAGACAAAATTCGATGATATATATTGGTTCTGTAAGGTTTCGCAAAGATACCTTGCTGAATACTTGTGGAAATGGCATTAGACGAAAGCTTACTCCAGTCTTCTTCAACAAAAGTAACTCTCAGGAAGTCAGAAGCATACGAAGCAAATTTCTTCACAACGTAATTTGAGGATTCGAGCTCTGGCCCTAAGCAGTAAATCTTCGACGGTGTAATGAGGACTCTATGACAACTCATTGTGTTGTGATTTGTTAACCTGCTGAGAGATAATGAAGGCAGATTCTTACCATTACTATTTTTCTTTAAAATATGCAGCCGGGTCTTAATAAACGATACGGGCTCGTAACAAGTGGATTGCAGCTTATGCATTTTCTGAAGAACCATCATTGCAGTGTCAATGTCTAAACTGCTGAGGATCTCAATCAGATCATTATCCACTGAAGCAAGACTAATTTTTTGGGTGTGAACAAGGGAATTGAGTTGGAAAAGGATCTCATATGCTAATTTAGAATCTGATTGACAACTGACAAGTGGAACTACCTCGGACGTAGAACCAAATTCTTCCCCTTCTTCTAGAATAAGATCTTTTACATCTTTCGTATAATAGGGCAAACTGGTAAAATTATCAAAAGTTGATAATTCTTCATTGATTTCCCAACACAGTGAAGATGATTGCCCGATTGACTTCATTCCGGAAAAATCTGTAGTGCGTACCCAAAGAAACCCAAAATCTTCCTTGCAGATGTGGTACCGGTTAGCACCAAACTTTGAATTGACATTAGGTCCAGAAATTTTTTGGTATATCTTTGGAGCATGCTTGAGCTGAAAAAGATACAGATAATTAGTAACAAATTCACTAGCCAAGAAACCAGCGAACACGAAAAGTAATATCAAAACAAAAAGAAATGTTTCAGCTGCTACATTTTCTTTCAAAAAAATAAAATAAAAAGAAAATGACAAAATTCATCAGAATATCCTTGTAGGTTTAGAGAAGAGAAGGAATTAGGGAATGAGTTAGACTTCATTCCCTTTTATATTGATAATTGAGCAATTATAGGCATAGTCTGAGCAATCACAAAAAAGAAAAAAAGTAATAAATACAATTATTTTCTATTCTAATATTTCCTATTATAACAATTTCATATTCTAACATCATACATGATCAGACAATATTTTGATCTACTTTTTCTGCTAACCTACCAGGCTGCCACCACAACTACATTCATTCGAAATGTTTGATAGATCACGTAAATTCAATTATCAGATTCTTAGTCTGCTAGGAAATATATAAGCTCCACCTTGGGCTATGTATGGACAATTTCCATATGAATGTGAAGTTTCTCGTGAATAGCATAAAAGAAAGCTCGTTAAGTTTGTATACTGCGACTGTACAATGTAAGTGCTGTTCACAATATTCTTTGAATACAAAATGTGCTTTTCAAATGATAAATTTCTCAAAGTTCCAATGTCTAACAATTTTTAACTATTAGGACATAATACACACTCAATAGAACACATATGGAGATGCACAATAAGGGTGAAAGGTGTTATGAGAGAGAGAAATGCTGAAAGACTGAATGAATAGTAGACATAAAAATTCCCTCCAACCATTGTAGAGCATAGCTTGAGGCAATGATAATGATACCCTATCCAATAGATGTCTACTTAATAGACTACAAAGTTGGTGGGTTGGCAATCACTCAAAGCCCAATCGTGAAGTTTGGGCACTAAAGCTAGTGCCTAGTGCACTGTCCAATTCAAGTTTAGGTCTTCAAGCAAGCGTTATGCTGTGTTGGCTGAAGTGATTATAAAAAGTTGATGATTCTATGTTATAAACAACAATCAGCCCATCTAAACAATCACACCTTGCCCTAAAACCTGAGATAAGATTGGATTAAGATCTTCAACCCAAGCCCAATGCCACCAACCTTATGCACTAATGCTCCAATCGAGGCTCCAAACTTATCTGGTTGGGCTAAAGTTGTACCAGGTTTAGCCACTTGAGCTGCAATTCTACCCTACAATGGCCACAGCAGAGTTATGACACCACACGGTTTTATAATTGATTCTTACGTTAACAAATTCAGGTAGTCAATACTAGTGAAGAAGCAAAATCCAAAACCTAATGAGCTCCAGAGGCAAGGAAAATTTATTTCATTTTCATTTTCATATCAAAGTAAATAACCATTTCTTTATATAGTAACAACTACTGCAACCTTGGTAGAAAATATGAATAAGGGCCACCTAGTGTACAATGCTCCAGCTAAAACGGGGTCTTGTATGAAAACCAATTTTGGAATTTGTAAAGAACAGATTTAAATCCAATGCACCTTAGTGTATGCAACCTAAAAATATTACATGAACTTCTTGAAAATTTTAAATGATCAATTTGAAAGTCAGCCGAAGTATTTTACAAATTTATTTTTTTTTGTTGATAACTGGGTGTTCGGGCAAGCTTGTGCGCACCTCAACTAATCCTACATCCTTGAAGTTAACGACCAGGTAAACCTCCAGTGGCCCCTTGGGTGACTCGAACTCAAGATCTTGGATCTTATCCTCAAGTCTTTACCGCTCGGCCAACCCTTGGGGTTGCCAAAGTACTTTACATTTTACAACCACAAGGATGGAAATCTTTTATCCACATTCTTGCCTGTGTACAGTTTGCATTATGCCCCTTCACCAAAGCCCACCAAATCCTTAGAAGCCTTACATTAGGGACATTAGAAAAGACAGTTTAACTACAAATTGTTTAAAGCTTAAGCCATATTTGGGAAAAGGCTCGGAGAAATAAATTTAACAATGGAAACCAAACCATCAAAGGTTGTCATTATTTTATGAAGCACATCAAAGAGTGTTATTAAACACTTACGTGTACACGGCAACACAAACTATTTTTTTTTTTGTGTCATAAACACATAATACTATACAAATAAACAAACACATATACATACAAAACATGTATATTTGTGTCCTTCCATGTCTAAGTTATCCCTTCAAGTAGTTGCTTTATGGGAATATCCTTGCCATGTTTCCACGTCCTGTATCCATATTTATTTAGTTATTTGACAAGCAACAAAGAAAGTTGCATTGAGAAAATGCCGAGGGGGCACAATGCATATACAACAAAGAAAGAAAACAACAAAAATCAAGAGAAAACATGAGACACCAAAACCCCTAATACATTGAAGAAAAAACATTCAACTGCCATAGCAGAATATCTCAATATCCCTTCACCATAATATGAATTGCCAGGAACTAGATCAAACAAACCACGGACAACTTGTCTAAGATGAGGTTGTAGAAGCTGCATTCAACCATGGAAATAGAGCCACCCGTACCCGAGACATAGTACATGTGATTTTTATAATAATAATTATATAAAAAAGAGGATATAGTCAGGTGGGAATATGAGAAATAACATTTTTATATATTTATATTCATAAACAAACAAAAATAATGAAAAACCAACACTAATTCAACTTGAAAAAACACTCGATCTTCAATTTAAATACCATTATACAAAATACCATTTCATCAACCATAAACAAACCACATTGTCTCAAAAATGTTAAAAGCATTTAAGTTCAATAATAAATAGATTGTCCATAAAAAATATATAAAGCCCCACTATTTTGTTTAAGAAATAACAATATAGTGAACATTTACCAAAAGTTTGCACCAAAAATTTCATAGAAAAACGTAAATGAAAACAAATAATATGAACACTAGCAAGATGATAGGGAGATTATTTTTTCAATGAGATATGCTCTTTGTCTCTTTCAAATGAATTCTAAGGCTCATATTGGAGACATAGTACATGTGATTTTTATAATAATAATTATATAAAAAAAAGGATATAGTTAGGTGGGAATATGAAAAATAACATTTTTATATATTTATATTCATAAACAAACAAAAATAATGAAAAACCAACACTAATTCAACTTGAAAAAACACTCGATCTCCAATTTAAATACCATTATACAAAATACCATTTCATCAACCATAAACAAACCACATTATCTCAAAATGTTAAAAGCATTTAAGTTCAATAATAAATAGATTGTCCATAAAAAATATATAAAGCCCCACTATTTTGTTTAAGAAATAACAATATAGTGAATATTTACCAAAAGTTTGCACCAAAAATTTCATAGAAAAACGTAAATGAAAACAAATAATATGAACACTAGCAAGATGATAGGGAGATTATTTTTTCAATGAGATATGCTCTTTGTCTCTTTCAAATGAATTCTAAGGCTCATATTGTAGACATTGAAAGTTAAACATATTAGAGGAAAGTTTTATTTTTTATTTAATTTTGACCCTCTTGTTTCCAAATTTTTACTTTGACCACTAAATCACCCTTCTAAAATTATAATAAAACGTCAAACATGTCATGTCGCGCATTTGGGCACAGGACACTCATGTGCTTGATGCATCCGCCAACATGTCCAATAAAAAAACAATAATAATAACACTTGGCATGCCATGTGGCATGTCAGACAGGTGTCTTGGCATGTTCGAGTGGTGTCTATGTCAGACATGTGTTGGACACATACAGCTACTAAAATAGATAGTCCGTGCTTCATAGCAGATGGGCTTACAAACATGTAGATACACATTTTACAGTCATGAACTGTGGCACATATTCAAGGTACAAAAATCTAGCACATAATGTGGACTCATCTACATGACAAACCTGGGAAGTGAATACGCAGGGACAAAACAATAAATATAATTGTATGTTTATATTTAAGCCTAACAATGAATAACAAAAACATATATATATTCAGGAAAATACATAAATAGACATAAATTATTGCAAACATTTATTTTCAATTTTTTTTTTTTTTTTTTTAGTCTATGATTTGGTTATAAACCGAAATAGAAATGTGAGTGCCAAATTGCTTATGAACCGGTGGGTTTGCTCTAAGTAACGACAAAAATCAGATTTTTTCAAACAGTTTGAAGTTGAACCAGTTTGGTTTGCCTCAAAATTTTAAATAATGTAATATTTAATGAAAGCTTTCTACGTGGTGCAAGGCACAACAGCTGAGCAGCTTCATTTGGGGGCAATGCATAAGGCAATTTAAAGCAGGTGGTACGCCTATTGTTTTCATTGGTCAAGCAATGTGGGACTCGTGCAAGCAATTGTTGATCCTTATATATTATAATTGGTACTATCCTATTGCTTTGTCGAGCAATGTGGGATTGAGGATTTTAGGTTGGGTGCAAAATTTGAAATATTGATAACATGATTTCTTTTATTAACATGAATTTGTAATGCATACAATAAGAAAAACATATATAAATGTCACATATTGATTAAAGTATATCCAATTAAGATTAAAATAGTATAAACATGCGTATAATTGAGTGCTAGAGGTATTACAAATGATTTAAAAATTTTCACAATCATGTCACCCAATTCTTGATACGTACTGCTCAATGCTCCAGAAACTGTTACACTGCAACCGTTACCGTTACCGTTACGTGTCCTAATACTGCGATTTAGAACCGTAGTTGAGACTTTCAATATTAGATTCACCTAAGAAAACTAAGGGTTATGTTGCATGTAGGGGCAGCACCAAAATTCCTCCATTGAAAGAAGGTATGGGCAGATCTAGCAGGGCACGCATCTGGCAGGCTGGATTTAAACGGATTAATTATCATTAAAATATTACTTAATATAGGCCAATTGATTGGGGTAGGTGGTGAGTTTGGCCGTATTTAAATTGATTAAACAATTATTACAATATTACTCAATATAGGCCAGTTGGCCCAATCAAAAACTGTAAGAGACTAGTCTCAATTTAGACATGCTACCCACTCCTCATAAGCCTTTGTAATTGATTAAATATTACCTCATGTGCTTAGAACCATAGAGCTTCGTAAGTGGTTAAAAAACAACGCCCAAGAAGTACACATTAATGTGTGTTTGGGAGGGGAAAGATTCAGTACACACCTAACCTTTTTGGCATAAAGCGTAAAGTGGTGGCCCAAGACTTGAACCCATAACCTCAAGGTTATTAGGCCAAGCTTCGTAAGTGGTTGAATTAAAAAAATACAAGAACCCACATAAGAAACTTATCACTTTCTCTAACATAATTCACTGCTTTTAGTAAAAGATATATTATTATTATTATTATTATTATTATTATTATTATTATTATTATTATTATTGTTAATTTTTATTTATTTATTTATTATGCTTTCACACCTCAAGAAGACTATATTCCTTATTTATTGCAAGGTTTTTCATAATTTGGTTACCAATGCCTTATAAACAGGAGGCCAGATTAAAATTTTTGAGAGCAATGCATGAGCAATTAGATTTTGAAGGGCAACCTCATAGAGTGGGTTCACAAAAAATTTAGAGGTGCCGGATTGAGTTTGGGGAGGCCACTACATGTGGTACAAAAAAACTTGGTTGGTTGCACTCATATAAAAGTGAACTTTCTAAAAAAATTAGAGGGGCCAAGAACCCGCTTCCTTCCGCCCTTAGTTGCATGGTCCTAAACTTCAAACCTAATTTAACAAAATTTACCCTTGATTTTCTTCTTCCTCAAAATGTATCAGGCATTGGATACAAACAAGTCTCCTCCTTAGAAGTACCTCTACTACTTGGATCACTTGTGTCAGCACATTAAATAACAACACCAACAATATTGAGGAAAAGCACACATATAGATACTAAAAGCAGAAATTAAAGAACTATCTTTCCTCTTTTGCAAGGAAAGAGACAAGAAAACAAACATTTACTAGTACAACAAATAATGGTCCAAGCTATTACCTAATTCACAAATCAAAAGCAAATCCAGTCAAAATCATCAGTTTAAAGCTACAGAGGCAGATGAATGAATGGTAAGCTCATAATAAGATGAGCAAGTAAGAAATAAGTAATCAAATAGATCAACAATAGTGACCTTACTGCCAACTAAGAGCATCACCAATCCTCTCTCTCTCTCTCTCTCTCTCTCCTTTTTTCCATCAAATCTGATTGAAAATTTGAATAAAAACTTGATCTTCTATGGAACACTCCAATCCTTACTCTTTTTCATTTTTTTTTTCTTCTTTCCTTATCAAATCATTTTAAAAAATTCCAAACATTTAAAACCTATTTAAACCATTTTTGATGAAAGAAAACCTATTTCCAATCCTTACTCTTTAAAATTCATCATATTTGAGTAAAAATATTATTGTTGGAAATTTGGTGAAGGATTTGGCTCATCCTTGTTTGGTAAAAAAAATTAACTCTCCTTTTATTTGATACAAATTTGATGAAATGGTTGGAGCACACTTTTAGCCATTTTTTCATCAAATTCAAATTTGACGGAAAAAATAAATGATGAAAGATTGGAGATGCTCCAACAAACAGTAACATAAACCCACAAAAATTCAAACATAAAAAATGATCAAAACATCAAAAAAATCTAAAAAGAACTTAACAAAAAATTATACCTTGAGAAGCACAGCATTGGGTTTCTCACTATCCAAACGACACCCCTTAGTCTCCAAAACATAATCAAACTGTAAATCCAACTTATAACACTCCCCACTATGAACAACCCAGAACTCAAGACTCTTCCTTTCGGGCATAACCCAAGCCTTGACACCGTCAAAAGACTCCAACACACTCATGCAATCATGTTTCACCATCAACCCACAATGCAGAACCCCATTCTCGACTCGATTCGAGGGCTCGACGGGCCGGGCTATGACGTCATCGAAGGAGGCGGAGAGAAACAGGACGAACCCTTTGAAGACAAGCTTGCCCTCTTGGGAGAGGCGTGTGGCGTTTGATTTGGAATCGAGGGTTTCGAATTGGACTCGGCCGAAACCTTTGGATTTCCAGTTCTTGCGGTCGCTGACGATTTCGCAAGCGTAGACAGAGCCTTTGCCGATTGTGGACTCGAAGAAGTCGAAGAGGTCCTTGGCTATGGCTGTTTGAGGAATGTTTGAGACCCTCACTGTGGGTCTGTCCACAGCCATGGCACAGAGAGAGAGAGAGAGAGAGGGAGAGAGATTTTTCCGACAGGGTTTTGTTACTTCGGAGTGAGTGAGGAATTGTGCAAACAGGGTTCTATGTTATTGCTTCGTTTAAATCGAAAATTGAAATAAAAAGGGTTTAACTCTTTACTTAAAAATTGTGATAAATTATACACTTGTTGAGATTTTCTGATTTTATAGTATATTATCTCTTAATATTTAGAAAATTATATTAATCTTTTATTATTGTAATTAGTTAGACAGAATAAAAATATTAAACTCATACACTCTCACTTTTTTTTACTATAATTCTATTTTTTTCCCCTTTCATTTACTTTTTTTTTTCCAATATAATTCTATTTATTTATTTATTAAAAGTTGTTACCTTTTATATAAACAAGGGTTGTGAAATGAGACTATTAACCATAAAGATGGGAATGTAATTTTTAAAACGTCAAGGGATAAGATGTAATTAGACCAAATTTCATGAGTGTTCGTGTAATTTATCCTAAAAATTATAACAATTAATTCTCTTCCTCTATTATTTTCTTTTTATGTTAGACTTTTTTATTATTTTTTATATTGGGATATCAACATGACAGAAATTGAGCGATTAATAAGACTATTAACCATAAAGATGGGAATGTAATTTTCAAAACGTCAAGGAATAAGATGTAATTAGACCAAATTTCATGAGTGTTCGTGTAATTTATCCTAAAAATTATAACAATTAATTCTCTTCCTCTATTATTTTCTTTTTATGTTAGACTTTTTTATTATTTTTTATATTGGGATATCAACATGACAGAAATTGAGCGATTCATAGAGCTCATTATAGGTTTAGTTTCGATAATTTAAATAGTTCACTTTTTAAGATTCATTAAGTAGAATATTTATGTAAAAAATTAAGATGATCGAAGATCAATAACTTTATATTTGAATCAAATTTAGATTACAAAAAATAAATGGTTATTTTTGAAATTATTTTTGTCATTTATTTTTTAAAATAAATATGATTAAAATATATAACTATCAATATCTAATCATCTTAATTTTTTACAAGAATATTCTACTAAAGGAGTCCTAAAATTGAACAGTTCGGATCATCAAAATCAATTCTAAAATGGACATCAAACCCAAACGCTATCTCAAGTTGAGATGATAACTTGAGAGAAGCCAAATATATATATATTTTTTCTTTTTTTCTCTTTTTAACCTTTATGACTAAAATACAATTTCATCAATTGGGTAAATTACACTTTATCCCTTTGAAGTATAGCTTCATATCACTTTTGTAATGCCCTAAAATAATAATAACTCATCTCATAATGTTCAATAGAAAAACATAAACTTACAAAATATTTACCTTTCATTTATATTCTTTTACTGTACAAAAGATGACATATGCATGTATGCATTCATTAATCTTAAATCTTGAATTTATAGCATATGTCATATATGAGTGAATTGAAAATAAAAGGGAATACAAATAGGTTTATACTCTAATGATTACATATTTTCTAAGACATTGCTTGGTTACAATAAGGTGGATCAAAGTCCAAAACAATTAAAAAGCCCAAGACTTATACAAAAGATAATTGCAATAAAAGAAACAAAAATGAGCATTTAGCTCCACGGTCCTCCTAAGTTAAGTCATTGGTGGAGGTATATCATTAGTACCTGAAAGTTGTTTTTCATGTAGGGTGAGCTAAAGCCCATTAAATGTATTCAAACACAACGTATGAAGCTTAACAAAGTCATATAGTGAATGCAATGCAATGCCATTTTCCAAAACATTATGTTTTCTCTTTCAAAACTATGCCATGCCTCAATTTTATGTGATTCAATTTAATAAACAATAATTTCAAGTTAGAAAGTAGAGCAATGGGTACAAAACACTGGGAATCTCTAGGTATGTATGTGCCTGCTAGTAGGCTATACAAACACGATCAAAGTCATTTTACCAGTACTAACTGGAAGAATCGACACCTAACCACACGAGTTTCTATATTTTCACAAAGGACACACAAGCCAACAATATAAACCACAACTATATCCCCTAACTAGATTCACCCAGGCATATACTCATTTTTCTCAAAAACAATACATTTTAATGATTTAGTATGAAACCATGCTCGATGCAAGATGTATGAGTAATTAGTTTCAATTAACCTAATCCTCATGCAATTTTTACAACAATCAAAACTATCCTCCACCGATAGCCCGAAACATACATTTCTACTCAACATATATATTCTCATAAATTTCAAAATAGGAGCGATAATATAAATCCAACTCCACTCACGTTATCAATGGATACATTCTTCTTATTTTTTCAAGCCTCACATCTTTTCCTTTTTTTTTTTTTTCCATAAATCAAACATCAATGATTTTCAATCAAACCCTCATTTACTTTCAAAATCACATTTAAGAAAGAATTTTTCAACATTTCAACACAACCCAACAATATACATACTTTCACAACCTTTCCCAAGAATTTATTTGAAAACCCCTTTTTTATATTTCAAAATCAAACTCTAGATTTAGTCCAAAATCCCAAATCATTAAACCCTTCTCAAAAAGTAAATAACTAAGTTAAGAATCATATCAAAGGTTGAAGAAATCCTTACCTTAAAAGTAGAAGAGGAAGAGAACAAGGGTAAAAGTTTGATAGAGCCAAAAACAAGTTTTCCTCCAATTAAAACGAAGCTTTCGACGAGCACTATCTTTTTTCTCCAAGGAACCAAGGTGGAGAAATCATAGATTAGGGAGTATTTGAGGTTTTAAGGCAAGAACTAGAGATAAAGAGAGAGAGAGAGAGAGAGAGAGAAGAATTAGGTTTAAAAGAGTTTTGGAAGAGAGAAGGAAATGAAAAAGTGACTAAAAATCCCATTTTCTTGATCTGATATATGCACAGACTGCTTGAGCGACCAAAACACCGCTCAAGCACAAAAAACCCCCTCCTAGAAGTTTTGCAGACTGAAGAAGACCATTTGAGTGAAGAAAGGACTTCTTGAGCCAAGATTACCCTACTCCTAGAAGTTTTACAGACCTGCAAAAATACTAGGAGATCTCAAAGATCGCTCGAGCGACCAAAACATTGCTCAAGTGAACAAGAAAAAACTGGACAGTAATTCTTTTGAAAAACTAACTCCCAACATGTTTCAAATACAACCAACAACTCCATGCTCAACAACAACAAGACAAGAAGAAACATAGACAACGAATAAGAGTATCGGATCTCGGATACAAGAACATGATAAGGGTCGGGTCTAAATCGGAACTATTATAATCTCCCCCTTAAGAAATTTCATCCACGAAATTTAAACCAAAACAATGATCAATGTGATCTAATCTCATTAATAATCCACTCTAGTAACAATGATAAAACAATGGCATGCAGCATAAAATATTACAAGTCGAATTTCCAAAACACCTACAATGTTTATATATTATAATGCAATGAAATTTCAATACAAAACTCAAATATCAACAAATAGATTTAGATATTTCTCATGGACTTCAGCCTCACGCTCTCAAGTCGCTTCCTCAATTCCATAGTGTCACCACAACATCTAAACTAATGGGATAGTCTTGCCCTCAAGACTTGATCCCAAGTATCTAAAACCTAAACTAGCCTTTCTTCATATGAGGCGATCTCATCTATCTCTAAATTGGTCAAATCCAGCACGTATGAAGGATCAGGTTCATATTTCCGGAGCACACAATTATGAAACACGTCATGAACCCCAGAAAGTTGGGGCAGTAAGGCCAAACGATAAATTACATCCCTAATTCGCTCAAGAATCTCAAAAGACCCAATAAATCTAGGAAACAACTTCCTGCTCTTTCCAAATCTCATCAAACCCCATCTTAGCGATATTTTAAGAAACACATAATCCTCCATCTCAAAAGATAAAGGTAGCCTCCTACGGTTGACATAGCTCTTTTGGCAACTCTGAGCTGAAACCAACCTCTCATGGATAAGCGTAATCTTCTCTATTGTTTTCCAAACTAATTTTGGACCTAAGATAGGTGGATCACCTACCTCAGCCCATAAACTGGCCTCAAAAGGAGCCATACCAATACTTGCCTGAAAACTGTTATTATAGGCAAACCCTACCAAGGATAAATGCCTCTCCCACGAACTCCCAAAATTAAAAACGTATGCTTGAAGCATGTCCTTTAAAATCTGAACAGTGTACTTGGACTGTCTATCAGTCTGAGGATGATAGACAGTAACTTAGTGCTCAAGGCACCCTATGGCCTCCTCTACAACCGAGTCGTAAAATGTGGATCCCCATCCGAAATGATAGTCATTAGGACCCCGTGAAATTGTACCATATCTCTAACATATAGATTAGTAGGCTAGTCCACTGAGTCACTTGTGCGCATAGGTATAAAGTGCGCAGATTTGGTTAACTGATCGACTACTACCTATACAACGTCATTACCTTGTTAAGTCCTCAGAAGACCCACAATAAAATCCATCGTTACATGTTCCCCCTTCCATTTGGCTATAGGTAAAAGTTGCAATAAACCCATTGGTCACTGATGTTCAGCCTTCACTTGTTGACAAGTAAGGCATCTCGAAACAAACAAGACTACATATTTCTTTATCTCCTTTCTCCAAAACTGGCAGCTAAGGTCGTGATACATCTTTGTGCCTTCCGGGTGTGCCGCAAGGTGTGAATGGTAGAACTCTCAGAGTACTTCCTCTCTACAAGACTCTAGCACATAAAGATAGTCTAGATATCTCACACTCGAGTCAAAATAAACATTCAAGCCTTTCTCTACCTTCCTATTAGATATCTTCCCTTGGATAACCTCTACTTTGTGATCACACTGTTGTGTCCATAATCCAGCTAACTAAGCTAAGTTGTGCAACTGCGGTAAATAAGGTGGCCAACTCAACAAATTTGCCCAGGTATACGTCAAACTAGCCAATAGCACCGAACATCTTCCACTCTCGGATGGCAATGCTAGCTACCCTACTTTTGAACTTCCTACTTAAAGCATCGGCCACTACGTTAGCCTTCTTTAGATGATAATGCAACTCAAAATCGTAATCCTTTATAAACTCCATCCATCTCTTCTACCCCAATTCAAGCCCT